CTCAGGTCTGATACTCCTACTCGCATTTTTAATTTTGACTTTGAGTAGCGGTAAAATGCCTTTGGGTTTGACTTGACCTTGCTTGCAACCAGCCTCTGGAACTCCTTTTCAGCCCTTCTACAGTCTATCTTTGCTTGGTGTTATATATATATATGTACGTTTATATGCTGCCTTTATTGAATATATATATTATATATTATGTTACTTCTTACCAAAGTCAGAAAGTGTTTATGCTTGTGTAAACACGAAATGTGTTAGGCATATTGTAACCAACAATAGAGAATAAACGCCCCAGCCAGACAGACCAAGTGACTCGTCATTCTCCCATTAAATAATGCAAGATACTACACTGGCGACGAGGATGGGATTCCCAAAGTGTTGGTGAAGTCCTTGAAGAGAGGATAGTGACCACTGAAGGAAAGGTTACTCTGAACCTGGAGAATTTAAGTGAAGAGAGCAACCATGGCTGGCGTCAGTGGATACATCCAGTGGATACATCGGACGAGTGGGGGTTGTATTGTGCAGACAAGGAAGATTTCTCATCATATTGTGAGAGAATGGACTTCTTCTTTCTGGCAAATGAATTAATGGACGACGGTGGGGATGCTGAGAAGAAAAAAATCCTTGAAGAGAAAAGGAAAGCAATCTTTTTGACAGAGGTAGGAGCTAATGTTTATTCTCCTCTGGTCAATCTGCTTACTCCAGACAAACCCAAAGACTCCTCACTGATTCAGATTACCAAGATTCTGAAGCAACAGTTTGATCCTGCTCCACTTGAGATTGCTGAAATTTACAAATTTGGCACCAGATATAGAGGTAAAGATGAATCAGTAAGTTATTATATAGTAACTTTGAAGAAGTTATCCTTTCACTGTAACTTTGGACAGTTCTTGAACCGAGCTCTAAGAGACAGGTTTGTAATAGGCCTGAATTATGAAAAAATACAGAATAAGTTAATGAACACCACTAACTTAACTTTTGAAAGTGCATGTCAGATAGCTACAAGCATGGAATTGGCCGAGAAAACACCAGAGAATTTGTTCCCAGTGCCGGTAGTGAAACAGTTGGCAGTAGTGGCTCAGTGTGTAAAGTAACTGTAGCTAAAAGGAATAAGTATGCCACAAAACAAGGAACAAATGCTGATTTAAAATGCAAGAGGTGCCGAGGGAAACATGAAAGCTTTCAGTGTAAGTTCAAGAATTCAAAATGTTACAATTATCAGCGTTTTGGACATATTGCTCCTGCCTGTAGAAGTGATGAAGGTAGAGTATATGCCGTTGAAGGTGGAGAGAAGAAAATGAAAAACAGTATTCATGAGAGTGTTAGTAATTTTGGATCTGATAATAATGAGAGTGCCCATATGTTTACTATTTACACCAGTCGTGAAGAGAAAGTTAAACATAGGTAAAATGTGGACTTATGGATTAATGACACACCTGTAACCATGGAAGTGGATACTGCAGCTGATTTCTCCATAATGAGTAAAGATATGTATGAGAAACTATTTGCGCATGTGCCTTTAGAAGACTCAGGTGTCAAGTTGAGAACTTATACTGGAGAGATTTTGAACACAGAAGGTAAATTAGAGTATGAGGTAAAGTACAAAAATCAGAATTTAAAGTTGCCATTAATTATAGCTAGTTAGCATGTGAATAGACCAACTTTGTTAGGCAAGAACTGGTTGTGTGAACTTGAGATGGACTGGAAGAAGATATTTAGTGTTAGAAAGTGTAACAGTATTCCAGGTCTTGAGAAATTGCTTGAAAAATAGAAGATTTTATTTGTTGTTAAGGGACAGGGTGGTATAAAGGGTTATGAAGTTCATATTGTAACGGGCCGAGTTTTCTCTTTTCAATAATTTACCATCCAGCTATTCTTTTCTGTTAGTACAGGTATTCTATTTACTCATATACTTATTTGTTCTGTTAGCATTCTTCCAATGAGTACCCTGTTTTATATACTTATTCTTCTTCCATTCTTTACATATATATTTATTCTTATATATTCTTACTTAT